TACTTTTTTTTTTTCCCCTGAAGATCTTACCACACAATCCTGTTTTTTTTTCTTCATTGTAGTAATTATTGCTAACTCAACAGTAGCAATAATAATGAGTTCCCAATATTACCAAAGGGAGAAGAGAAGACTCAGGGAGAACTGCTAGCATTTACCCTACCAAATTTTGAATCTTTATTAATTTGGAGACATCTTATAGGAAGTATCTTTTTTAGCCTTTTATTAAGAGATTAGTCAGTTTCTATATCTCATTGGTATTATTCATATCTACTTTTTAATTCAGGTTCCAAAGAGAACCCTAATTCTCTCTGATGCTGTTATTAAAAAACAAACCCAATTATGTAAGAATTCTCCCACTCTAAAATTGGAAGAGTAAGGATATGCATATGCATAATAGCAACTTGCACTCTTATTCTGAGAACTGAAAGAGTTCAGGCTGTGGTGTAAGTGATTTACTGGTTGGGAATCAGTCTGAATCATTACCAATACAACTATGCAGTTGTGTGCATTCTATTCTATTAACACAATAAATTAAGTTGGCATATTTTATACACTAGAATGGTGTATATGATATGAAATAGTTATTTTTTAAAGAAATATGTAAAGACCTAAGCATCACCTAATACATTTTAGATATGCTATAAGATGCTATTTTTTATTTATATACCAATGTGGATTAAGTCCAAGCAGCCCCTATCATTTGAGTATTTACCTGAATGCCCATCACCATGAGTTCTGTGGGAAGCATCATATTATATAAGAATGCTCCCTAATGACCTATGTATAGAGCTATCCCCAAGTCAGCAAGCCCCTTTATGGATGCAAATGTTGTGTCACTGCATCAGGGGATTTGTTGGTCAATCTCTTCTGTTGCAAGTTGGACTCACAAAAAAGGGGGTCACAAAATGGAGTGATCTCTACACCAGAGATTAAAAGGAGCTCTTGAAGTTTTTGAAAAGTGACTCAAAGTTCAAAGATTCTGTGATCAAACTTCAAAAGTCAGTCAAATGTAGTATCTCTTTCATTACAGGGTCATTTTAAAATTATCACTGAAATATCAGTGGCAACTATGAGTGCAAAGTTGCAATGATGATTTACAGGGTAGTTAAAATTAGAGGAAATAAACCTATCTCCATGCTTTTTGTACCAGGGATAAACCCATTTAGGAATATTTATTAAAAAAA